CCGTACCGTAACGAACGACGTACGACGTAACGTAAACGTTAAACGGTAAAAACGGTAAAACCGGTACGTACGGTACTTGGTTCGTACGTCGACGTACTTACTACTATCTCTCTCTCTCTCTCTCTCTCTCTCTCTCTCTCTCTCTCTCTCTCTCTCTCTCTCTCTCTCTCTCTCTCTCTCAATCTTGCCCTCTCGCCTTCTCTCTGACGTTGACCAGTGTTTTATAGCCGAGAGTCCATGATCTATAGAAACCCGTGATCGATCTACCTGAGACGTAAGTAGCAACCTCGCGTGTAGTAGACACTATGGTAACAAAGATTCGCGTTCATTTCGGTCAAACATCAGACCACAATATTGTTGTAGCCGTGTGGTTCTAGATGGTAGCAACAGTAGCGAAATCTCAGCGCGCTACCGTTAACAGGAGCCATCGGCTGGTGCTTTCATTTGGCACTGAAACGCAACCAGCGTCTGTGATGATCGAGTTTCGGAACGTGAGCTGTAGAGCGGAGTTTGAGTTCAGGGCAGGTAGCTAGTGTCTATGGATTTCTGGCGTCGTTTCGTCACGGCAACAGCTAGAGGAGGGCGAGTTCGAGGAATATATGTGTAGGGGGAGTTCACACAGGGACTGTGCAATATGTGACGGGAGTTAAGAGATGCGGGCGAGTTTAGACGAAGATAAGGAAGAGGCGAATTTGTGCACGGCGAGTGTGTAAAGGTGAACGTCGGTGTGGGTACACGGGAAGGAATTTTGGGCGTAAGCTCAAGCGTAGCGAGTTCACTCAGTCAAGGAAAGTCGGTGTGAGGGATAGAGGGAACGTGAGTTCGAATGTGATAGGTTCAGCAATGGTAATAATATTATAACAAATATTGTTGTATGTGTTGTGCGCATCATAGGAGTTTAAGAGCGCTATTGTGAACGCAAACAGTGCATTTGAGCTGTAAAGCGGAACGAAGTTGACTCGGCCAATATTTGTCATAAGTTTTGGAAGAATTCGTTGTTTGAAGAATCACATTTGTTGGAAGAATCTTCCTATGACAAATATTGTCATAGGAGAGCGTATACGCGTATGTCGTATTTGTCATAGACGCTAGCTGAACAAGGCTGCGACATAAGACTAGGTTCGGTGGAGGAGATTTGGTGTTCAAGTGTGGAGCGCTCGAGGAAGAAGGAGTGAGAGTAAATTCGAGGAAGGGGATTTGATATGATTAACCGCGTGAGCACAAGGAAGGGGGGCTCGGGGAAGCTAAGAGAACTTCGAGGGAGGGTGTGCATTAGTGGTACGTCGAGACATTTGATGAATCGCTGTTAGCAACTCTCCTCCGACGACTATAGTATAGTGTGTCGTGGTGTAGTATTGTAATAGCTCTGATAGATCAGCCTGTTTTGCTAGCCTCTATGACAAATACGACATACGCATATACGCTCTCCTATGACAATATTTGTCATAGGAGAGCGTATATGCGTATGTCGTATTTGTCATAGATGCAAGCAGAACAAGGCTGAGACATAAGGCTAGGTTGGGTGGAGGAGATTTGGTGTTCAAGTGTGGAGCGCTCGAGGAAAAAGGAGTGAGAGTAAATTCGAGGAAGGGGATTTGATATGATTAACCGCGTGAGCACAGGTAAGGGGGGCTCGGGGAAGCTAAGAGAACTTCGAGGGAGGGTGTGCATTAGTGGTACGTCGAGACATTTGATGTA